GTACGTGGGGGAGAGATAGTGAGGAGGGAACTGACGGAATTGTTGTTGTTATTTATAGTATTTGTTGTTGGTATGGCTATAAGGGGAGGTTGGAGGCCATAAAAAGTAGTAGTAGTAGTGGTGGTGGTAGTAGTAGTAGTGGTGGTAGTAGTAGTAGTGGCGGTAGTAGTAGTAGTGGCGGTAGTAGTAGTAGTGGTAGTAGTAGTAGTAATAGTAGTGGTATTATTATTATTATTATTACATTATATAACGTGAAATACCCCCACCCCCATGGCGAAGAGGTCACACACACACACAGCTGCCCCACTTAGCGTCTGTTTATTTGACAAGAATTTATTCCTATCTTATTCTTCTTTATTCACCGCTACTTTGTCATCAGGGTGATTTATTTTGTTAGTATTCGGTCGGTTTATTCTCATTTTATTGGCTATTATTGTGATTTGTTTAGTTTATTCACTGTTTATGTCTAGCTTATGTCTACAGTAGTTTTGGTCAAGTTTGTCATGATTTATGTCTTTTGTCTTATATCGCTTTATTAGATGTATCATTTGTGGTTACCTGAAGATTAGACACCCTAGATTTCACCTGAAGATTAACCATCCCAACGCTAACTAAACCTAACGCAACCTAACTTTACGCAACCTAACGCTAACCTAACCCCTTCCTAGGTAGTGTTAAGGTGTATAATCATTAAGTGAACTAAACTGTGGTGATGGGGTGCTTATCTTCAGGTGGTCCATCATGTTGGTCAGTTGATAGCGTTTATGACGGTAAAGTAAAAGGGGTTATATTTAAGAACCATTCATGCAGAAATACACCTTGAGGCAACTACTCAGGTAAGTGGTGAAACTCGACTGATAATTATCGATGACGGCGTGAGCCCAGGTGAGAGGGGGGGGAGGGAGGGGTAGAATGAGGGAGTGTGGAATGGAGGTGTGGTAGGAGGGAAGGTGGGGTTGGATAGATGGAGGGAGGGAGAGAGCCGCCCTCACGAACTTGACCACACACACACACACGTATTTGCTTGTTCGTCATTTTCATTACATATTAATATGTTTCTGGTATGTACATGGTTAATGCATACACAAACTCGAGTGCCCGGAAAAGCCCACAATCAACGCTAGGGGGCTGCAGTGAACAACACCCTTCTCACATCCGTTCTAGGCGGGGATCGTACCCGGAATCTATTGTTGAGAGGCAAGCTCGCTACCGCTGCAGTATGGACCTCCCCTGTGTACTGTATTATCTTATTCATATGATCACAATTCATACTCATTGTAATATTATTCTAACAATGAAAAATAACCCCCAGATAAGGTAATAATACAAATAATTATAAAAAAAAATAGTTTTTCTTTTTAAGTTTTGAGAATTTAGTAATTTTTGAGAACTTCTTGATTTTGTTAACGTTTTGGGGGAGGGGACGGCGGGGTGTGGGTGTTGGGGGAACGAGACGATAGACCAACACTCGATAATAAACCTGATTATTAATAACTTAACTGTTTTAAGCTCGAGGTATAACAGCGGCGTATCTTTTAGTCTGTCTGTCAACCGCACACTCGCTCAAATATGCCGCCAGAAAGCAGGTGGGAGGCAGCATGTTGAACTAGTGCTTGAATTAACGAGTGAGGCGTCCGTGATGTGTTGCAAATAATGGTCACTTACCGAACGTTACCCGGGTGGCCCCCCCTGACTGTGTGGTTAGGAGGGGTGGTGTATTAGCGGTAGGAGGGGTGGTGTATTAGGGGTAGGAGGGGTGGTGTATGAGGGTAGGGGGTGGGGAGGGTGGGAGGGTGGTAGGAGGGGTGGGAGGGTGGTGTATGAGGAGGAGGGGGAGGAAGGGTGAGGAGGAGGGGTAGGAGGGGTGGGAGGGGTAGGGTGGGGAGGAGGGGGGGTGGAGGGTGGAGGGTAGGAGGGTGGTGTAGGGGTGGGTAGGGAGGGGAGGGTGGTGTGAGGGTGGGAGGGGTAGGGGGGTGGGAGGGGTGGTGTGAGGGTGGGAGGGGTGGTAGAGGGTGAGGTGGGAGGGGTGGTGTATGGGGGAGGAGGGTAGGGTGTAGAGGGTGGGAGGGTGGTAGGGGTGGGAGGGTGGGTAGAGGGTGGTGGTGTGGGGGGGAGGGGTGGTGTATGAGGGTGGGAGGGGATGGGGAGGGTAGGGAGGGTGGGAGGGGTGGGAGGGGTGGTGTGTGGGGGGTGGGAGGGTGGTGTGTGGGGTGGGAGGGGTGGGGGGTGGGAGGGGGGATGGGGTGGGAGGGTGGTGTGGTGGTGTATGAGGGTGGGAGGGTGGTGTGTGGGGGGTAGGAGGGTGTGAGGTGGGAGGGGTGGTGTATTAGGGGTGGGAGGGTGGGTGTATGAGGGTAGGAGAGGGGTGGGAGGGGGTGGAGGTGGGAGGGTGGTGGGGTGGGGTAGGTGGGGTAGGAGGGGGGTATTAGGGAGGGTGGTGTATGAGGGGTAGGGGGGGGGGGGTGGGAGGGGTGGTGTATGGGTAGGAGGAATGAAGGGAAGAGCGAGGAGGGGTAGTGTAAGAGAAGGTAAAGAAGTGGGGGGGGGGTGATTTTTGACGGGAGGGAAGGAAGGGGAGCAGTGTATGACGGGCGAGGTGAGATGAAGGGAGGGGCAGTCAGGCAGGGAGGGAGGCAGGGATGGTGAACGGGTTATAACATTAAATAATTGGTATTCTGACCAGATATAAATAAGTTGACGCTGTTGCTTTTCCTATTTACGAAGGTGAAGGATTTTATACGCGTCCTCTCTATTACGTCCTAAATCCTTACCAAATACTGAATTAACGTATATATATTAAAAAAAAATCTTTATCTGGTGTGAAAAAATCTTCCTCTGATTTATTTTTCTTAGGATCCAAACATTTGTAGTCACCTGTGGATATGAATGTAATTATACAGACGCTCTCGTTACTATTGTTAGAGTTGCAGTTTATTATTATGTTTGCTTGCTCCTACGTAACCTCTCAAGACTCTGACCTTTCTGATTTTACAGTAGACCTTGAGAAGACAGGTGAATGTTGGATAAGGTGAGGAGGCGTGAGAGGTCTAGAGTGCGTTGGGGTGCGGGAGTAAGGGGTAGGAGGTGGGGGGGTCTTGAAACAACAGTAGTGTGTTTGTGTGAGTTTGTTGGTGTGTGGGTGTGTGTGTTTGAAGGTGCATGTATGTGTAAAACAGGGCATCAGCGAACCTCAAATTCCTATAAGAGACTTCAATATCTACTCAGTGATCCTCGCAACCCTCTTCTTCCTATTTTAGTGTCTTGTATTTTCTTCAATATTTACGAAACGATGATAAAGAGGAGTAATGGTTGAGGGAGGCAGAGGAGGAAAGACTTAGTGCGTCGTGGTGTATCTGAAGAGGTGTGACGAGGACCTTGTGGCTGGGTCTGTATTGCCTGCTGGAGACTATGGCGGATGGTGCATGGTGGTGTGGTAGGTTGTGGGGAGGTGTCAACAGTGTGGTAGGCTGTGGGAGGTGTCAGTGTGGTAGGCTGTGGGGAGGTGTCAACAGTGTAGCAGGCTGGGTTGGGGGGGTTCTTTAGCAGTGTGGTAGACGATAATGACTATGTATGTTATCCATTGTCCCTCCATCATCATCAAGTAAATCATTGTCTTATTTATTCTTAATAGTTGGAAAAAAAAAGCTCTCCCATCTGAAGGTAAAAGAACAAGAGAGAAAATTGGTCATAAAACAAGTTCTCTACATTTACTGCGGCGGTGTGCATGAGGGAAGATGGAGGAGAGGGACACGACACCCCGGTGGAAGGATCTGCCAAGGTCGGGGAGGGTTAGCCATCACGTCTCCAAAGCTCTGTATAGTTGAGGCACAGGAGGGTCGCGCGCGCTCCAATATGAACCTTATTGGAGTAGTCAATAGAGCGGAGAGTTGTGATGTTGATGTGAGGGGTTGTTGTAGGGTGGAGCGGAGGGGGGGGGGTTAATACTGGAGCATTATGGGTGTAGTGTAGTAAAGCGGCGTCGTCATCCCCCGCCTGCCTGCCTGCCTGCCTGCCTGCCTTCCCAACTCGTTCTGCTTGAGTCGAGGTGGTCGGCCAGTGAGCGCCTCCCCTGCAAGCCGTAGATGTTCCTTTCCCCCGAGGACTGAGCTCGTTAGTGGTGTACCCGCTGTCACTTGCCCCGCTGGCATATCTCCAGCCAACATTCCAGCCATGACAAGTGAAGGGTACGGCAGGCAGACACTCACACCGCTCGGCACAACTTCCACTCTCCTCTCTCTTTCAAACTGCGCGAATTCGCCGGCGTGCGCTGGTGCCTTGGGAGGGACTCGCTCACCACCGAGACCTTCATACAGTTCTCCACACAGAAAATACGGTAATCATAAATCTAGTAATACGTGTTCGAGCTCCCCCAGCACCATTACTTGCAGACGCGCAATCAGACAGGACGTTCATGTACTGCGTTTTTGCCCAGGTGGATTGAAGGCACATAATGGTACCCTCCAAGTCGCTAGGGGCCGTAATAACACTGCCAGCCACCATCACCTGGAGGTGCTGGGGACACGTGAGGGGGGCGGAGGGGGAGTAGGGGAAGGGGTGGAACAAACGAAGAAAAGGGTCCGAAGGGAGGTGAAGGTGGTAGGGAGGGGGAGGGGATAAGCCAGGGAGAGCTTACGTAATGATAAATTTTGGGTACGGTAACGTTTGACTGGCGGTCTGTCGCGTCTTTGTGGCTGCACTTATAGGTGAATGGTCTCTTTTTAGTTAACACGAGGGAAGATGTGATCCTTACCCTGCTGAGGACTGAATGATATAGGTTTTAATTTATTTTTATGGTCCGACAATTGGCGAAGACTGTGAGAGGGGTAGGAGAGAGGAGGAACCGTAGAGGGGGAGGAGAGAGGAGGAACCATAGAGGGGGAGGAGAGAGGAGGAACCATTTGTTGTATGGGCGGCGTCAGGTTGCCTGCAGAAGCACCCAGCATCCTCTCGTAATTCACCCGCCCCTCACTGATTACTGCGTCAGCTGACACGCCCGACCTATGCTGCCACACGCCCGATCCTTCTACACGCCCGACCCTTCTCCTACACGCCCGACTCTTCTGCCATACGCCCAACCTCCGCTGCTACACGCCCGACCTCCGCTACTACACCCGTGCTGCTGCCACCTGCGCTGCTACACGCCCGACCCTGCCCCGACCTACGCTGCTACACGCCCAACTGATGCTACTTACGCCCGACCTCTACTACTACACGCCCGACACGCCCGACCTCTGCTGTTACACGCCCGACCCTGCTGCTACACGCCCGACCTCTGCTGCTACACGCCCGACCTCAGCTGCTACACGCCCGACCTCTGCTGCTACACGCCCGACTTCTGCTGCTACACAAAGACGCCGTGGACATCTCAGTCGTGCTGGGAGAGTATCCAGGACGTCGACTATTACTACTAGAGCTGCTGATGTGTCGACACTTACTGAGAGACGTCGACACTTACTGAACTAGCTGCCAGAACGTCGACTCCCACGATTCTGATACGTCGATGCTCATTATGACGGCATATGAAGTGTCGTCGCCTGCTCGAACGTGATATGAAGCTTCTTTACCTTTTTGAGCGTCAGATGAAGCTCCTATACCTGTTAGAGCGTCAGATGAAGCTCCTATACCTGTTAGAGCGTCAGATGAAGCTCCTATACCTGTTAGAGCGTCAGATGAAGCTCCTATACCTGCTAGAGCGTCAGATGAAGCTCCTATACCTGTTAGAGCGTCAGATGAAGCTCCTATACCTGTTAGAGCGTCAGATGAAGCTCCTATACCTGTTAGAGCGTCAGATGAAGCTCCTATACCTGCTAGAGCGTCAGATGAAGCTCCTACACCTGTTAGAGCGTCAGATGGAGCTCCTACACCTGTTTGAGCGTCAGGTTAAGCGACTACACCTGCATGCAGGAGCGTCAACCTAGGTGAACCGAGATTGTAAATTGAGGTTCTATGAAGCATTGAAATCACTCTGTTATTATGGCGGCGGTTGGTGGCTCACTGATGGTTTGTGGCGGTGTGTGTGTGTGTATGTGTGTGTTTTACGTGGGAGCTCGACATATAATACCATTTTTTAAAGGAAAGACCAGCCAAACATTATCCCTGAAAGAGATCATTGTGTTCATATGTTTTATATCACACACACACACACACACACACACACAGCAGTAGTGATCATGCTAAGAGGTAGAGATGCAACATTCTTCACCTCAGCTACACACTAGATATAGACAGTGCTTGGTAGATTATTATTATTATACAGTGCCCAGCTTTAGGGGTATGATGCGGGCATACTATAGTTGGCAGGGAGGGAGGTAGATCTGACCATCCCTCCCTCCCTCTCTCCGTACATCCTTCCCTCCTCTACCTTCCTCCCTCCATCCCTCCCTCCCTCCTCCTCCTCCTCCTCCTCCTCCCTCCTCCCTCCCTCCTCCTCCTCCCTCCCTCCCTCCCTTCCTTCCTTCCTCCCTACCTCACACAACCCATCCATCCTTCCTAGCCTCCCTCCCTCCCTCCCTTCCCTCCCTTCCTTCCTTCCTTCCTCCCTACCTCACACAACCCATCCATCCTTCCTAGTCTTCCCTCTCCCCCCCTCCCTCCCTCACCACTGTACACAACCAGTGTTTGATACTTCTTGTATGCACTCAAGAAATTTGCTAGTTTTTATTTTTTTTTACTCTTTATTTTTAGGGTATTTTCATTTTATCCCTTTCTTTCTTTCTTTCTTTCTTTCTTTCTTTCTTTCTTTCTTTCTTTCTGTTTCTTGTATATTTCCCATGTCTTTAACTCCTCCTCCGCCTCATCTGTATTCTCTTCCTTTTGCTTCCACTCCTCATCTTCCTCTTTCTCTTCCTCCTCCTTCTCCTCCTCCTCCTCTTTTATTCATTTTCATTTAAATTATTTCCATTCTACTTTTTTTGTAAATAATATTATTGTTATGATTAGTGCTATTATTATTAGTATTATTATTGTTTGCCTTAGTGCCAATATTATCCTTGCTAATGTGATAATCATGTATATAAAAACTATTACTATAAATGTAGTGTAGTAGAAGTAGTGTATATATGACCGATATTATCAATAATGTTATGGGATTTTCAGGGGAGGAAGACGGAGAAATGGTCCGGAACGGAGGTCTGTTGAGAGCCATGTTCATGCACAGAGTTTCTTGAGATCAGGGTTTATCAGGCTCATAACACTGGCTAGTGTTCTCTGTCTTCTATAGGCTTAGCTCTCTCCTTTTGTTTCTTGTTAACATATAAAATACTTCTCTTTTGTTAATTAATAATATCTTATCATAGAAGCAAGCTCTTGTTATTTTGACTAATGTTTCAGTATTTTTCTTTCTTTATTTTTTCTTTTTCTTTTAGATTTAGCTGTTATCAGATATTCACTTAGTCTTTAAGTTTAGGGAAACAGGTTTATGATACTTTACAATTTTCAGTATTGTTTAGGTTCAGCTTATTAACACTAAATTTACTCAGTAGTTAGACATCAGAGAAGCTGGATTCTGACACTAACTTGTCTTCACTATTCTTAAGTGTTCATCTCTGAGTTTAGTGAATTATCATTAAAAAAATATGGAAAACCAGATTCTTGATGAAATCATAATCTCCTGAAGTTTAATAATGTGGAAACCAGATTCTAGATAATTAGATTACTATCCGGTACCATCTAGAACTTGCCCCATATTATTCTAACCACACAAAATTCTTTAAACTATAAAATCAGATACGGTATATAGGCTGTCGACATTTTAGCGAGTGTCAGGACCTTGGAGGAACTGTTATGGTCTCCTGCAAGAACCAGAATATTTTTTTTTTTTTTTTACACCTAAGACCCACTGCACCAGCAGCTTATGTCAGTGGTTAGTGCTACAGGATCACATAGCGCCTTTCACCATCACCAGAAACTCCTTTTTTTTTTTTTTTTAGTTTTTGTGACTGCAACAATAAGCCTCTCGCTCATGGAAGATAGTGAACTCTTTGTGGTAGGGTTAGTTTTTATCGTCAATCACCGCTACACTATTTTTAGGACCTTGAGATTAGGAAATGAGGCGCTGGGGTATTAAGACTAGTGATCAGTTATATATAGAATCAAGTAGAGTTTTTTGTCGATTATAATAGGCCAAGGTAGTGAGGTAGTCAGTATTGAAGGCAATAGTCTGTAGTTGCGAACATCACCTTCCCCGCCACTATAGGCTTCCTTGTAACACTCAGCACACGAGGCAGCGTCTGACGATCATATTGTTGTTCACTGTCTTCTATACTAACACTCTGTCTGTATAATGTATTTAGTGTTAAGGTAAGGGAAGTAAATTTCCCAACACATGATCTTCTCTGCCATGACAGTGAGAAGCAAGCGACTGTACTGACATTACTACATTACATACGTCAGGCCGGCTGTAGGGAGTAAGTTACACACACTGACAAAAGGTCATGGCGACATGAGCTACGTATTAACTAATTTATTATGCAAACTATGTTAAAGCCAACAAAATTTACTTTTACGGTCTATTGGTGAAGAGCGATGATGCGTCACTTGCTTCCCCTTGTCCTAGCTGGGCAGTAATGTCCATTACTGTTTAGGGTCGGCTCTTGTCCCCTGCCGCCCCTGACACCCTCAAATAATGTAGAGGGAACAGTTACACCTGCAGTGAAGGACGCCACCATGTTTACACTCACACGAGTAATCACTTAAACACTTGCTTATGTCTTCATTACCTTTTAGGGTCACCTCTTACCCCTTGCCGCCTCTTACACACTCGTATACGGCATGGAGGAAAAGTGAAACTTGGAGAGAGGAACAATAGGATGTTGACACACCAGCAGTCACATAACAACTTCTTTTTACTTATTCACTTATACTCCCGCATTTACATAATTTAACTTACTATATATGTGTGTTTGTGTTAACAGTACGCTGACGACAGGCCAACAAACATATATATTGTACAGCAGCCTACTTTAATATGTATTTTTAGTCTTATGTATACAACTTTTTGTATTTTATATAATACGTTTACTTTTAGTTGTATACTTATTTTATATTATGTTAATGCTCGCTATTAGATACCTGCATTACACACACACACACACACACACACACACACACACACACACACACACACACACACGTAAATAACTTGTCATCCTAAGGTTCTAAAGGTTTGTTTCATCTACCTGCTAGTTATAATCTAGATCTCTTTTAACACTGGCTCTCTTGATTAGTAACTCTTGTATTAAACCTTATATTCTGCTTGTTAATTTCTTCTTATTCTGAAGTGTTTACTACATTTATGTTGAACACTTTCATGGTAGACTTATATCAGACAGTAATATTAATAATGTTTTCCCTTAACATTTTATTTCTCACTCAGTTTGAAACAAAAGAATTATCATTAAAAAAAACTAATCCTCAAGTATTCTAAGAGATGATTTCCCTGAGCAAAAATACGATACGTTATGAAAAAGATTACAAAGCACTAAAAAAGGCAGAATTCTCCATAGGAACGTGTTGGAGGCTACAGGCGTAAATATTTTAGGACACAATACAAGACTAATTAACCAAACCCAGGAGTATTATGAGTTGTTTTTAAGAATGATGTGGTATAATAATGTAGCATAGTCCCTGAAAAAGGCTGAGTTTTATAAAGAAAGTTAGTTTTGTATGACAGTTGTGGTTTAGTGTAATGCCGGTCCCGTGTGGACATGGCCTCTTGAGTCACCTTAGAACTCATTAATTAAAAATTCATATAATTCTGTCATCGCTGGATGATCGTCATATTCTATTCCAAGTAACAAAAGTATTAGTAATAGTAGTAGAATTACTGAACCGAACCCTTTAAAAATAATCACTTTATGGTGAATTGGAAGTTCCATTGAACCCCTCAAGTATCATCCACCCCCCTGAACCCTCTACACACACCCCTGAACCCTCTACACACACCCCTAAACCCTCTACACACACCCCCTGAACCCTCTACACGCACCCCTGAACCCTCTACACACACCCCTGAACCCTCTACACACACCCCTGAACCCTCTACACACACCCCTGAACCCTCTACACCCCTGAACTCTACACACCCTGACCTCTACCCCTGAACCCTCACACCCTGAACCTTCTACACACACCTGAACCCTCTGCACATGCCTGAACCCTCTACACACACCCCCCGGTACCCTCTACACACCCCTGAACCCTCTACAAACACCCCTGAACCTCTACACACACCCCTGAACCTCTACACACACCCCTGAACCCTCTACAAACCCCTGAACCCTCTACACACCCCTGAACCCTCTACACACACCCTGATTTACACCCTGAACCTTCTACACACACACACCCTGAACCCTCCACACACACCCCTGACCCTCTACCCCTAAACCTTCACACACCCTCTGAACCCCTT